ATGTAAGACCCAGATATTTAACTTCTGTTGAATGAGGAATGACTATGTTGTTGATTGTTACTGCAGGGCAGTTTAGAGGTCTGAGTGAGAAAGTCACAAAAGAGGACTTGGATTCATTAATTTTTATTTTCCAATTGGTGAACCACTGTGAGAGAGTATTTAGGTGAGTTTGAAGTTGATGAGATGCGGTGGTATGGTCAGAAGAAACTGATAATAGGGCAGTATCATCAGCATATGTTCCAACTAAGGTATTTTCAGTTGTGGGCAGGTCCGATGCATATATGGTGTATAAGAAAGGAGCAATATCGCTGCCTTGAGGGACACCAGCATATATAGGATATTGTTTTGAGTGTTGTAAATTATGTCGGACATTAAAAGAGCGGTTGGCAAGATAGGATTTAAGTATTAGGTATAAAGGGGCTGGAAAAATATTTTTTAATATGAAAAGGAGACCGTCATGCCAGACGGTATCAAATGCTTTCGCGACGTCCAGAAAAACACCGGCGCAGTATTTTTTGATTTCGAGTGCTGCGGAGATAGTGTCCGCAACCCTGTGGAGTTGATGAGTTGTGGCATGGTGAGCACGAAAGCCGAACTGGAAGTTTGGAATGCCGTTTTTTGATTGTGCAATGGTGGTGATTCGCTTGAGAATGATTTTTTCAAGGATTTTACCCAGAACTGGTAGTGAGCTGATGGGCCTGTACGAGGAGGGGTTTTCTGGAGGCTTGCCAAGTTTGAGTACTGTGACAATAACAGATGCTTTCCAGGTAGTTGGGAAATAAGATAACCGAAGGGCTGCATTATAGATATGAGCAAGATGAACGATTGATTTCATAGGTAGATTTTTGACTACTTTGTTAGAAATGAGGTCATGGCCTGGGGATTTGTTGTTTGCCAGTTTTTTAATAACACCCACTATTTCCGCTAGGGAAGTAGGTTTTGTAGGTAGGGCCATAGGTAAAGTAGACTGAAGAGACTCCATGACAGACGACATGTGTGGTGCTGGCGTAGGAATAAGATGTGGTTTAAAAACGCCCGATAATTCTTCAGCGAGAATATCTGCTTTTTCCTTGTCTGTAGAAGCAAGTGAGTTGTCTGCACGGCGAAGAGGCGGATGAGAGTCCTTAATTCGTAGTATTGACTTAGTTTTGCGCCAGAGAGATCCATTTGTAAGAGAGAGGTTTTGTAAGTGATTTTTGTAAAGATTGGCTTTGTGAGTTCTAAGTAGGGACTTAAGTTTATTGGAAAGATAATTGTACTTTGTCTTGTCTGCAGGGTAGTGAGTTTGTTGCCATTTAGATCTGGCTCTGCGTTTTTCAACAATAAGTTGTCTTAGTTCCGGTGATAAGTTGGGTGTTTGAGAATAGGGTGCGCGAAGGGTAGATGAGTCCTTGGCTGCTGTTTGAATGAGATCCGAAAGTTGGGTGATTGCTTGGTCGACATCGGAAGATGATTTTAATTTGGTATTAAGAGTTATTTTGTTTGAGATGAAAACTCTAAATTTGTTCCAATTTGTAGTACCTGGAGTAATGGTTGATCTGTTTTGCTTCTAAGTGGGTTGAGCACCAATGAGGAGTAATATAGGTGTTTGATCAGAAGCTGGATCGTTTAGCTTTACAAGTTCAGTGGAAAAGCGGTTTGGTAGATTGGTGATAAAAAAGTCAAGGGTGTCGGGGTGTTGGTTGCCATGCGATGGCCAATAGGTTGGAGAGTGCGGCGCTATTACCTTGAGGTGGTTGAGCGAGATGAAGTTGTTTAGAGCACGACCTCTAGTGTTGGTGGTGCGGCTCCATGTATGGTATTTAGCGTTGAAGTCAGCACCAATAACATGAGTGAAGCTTAGAGTTTGAGAAAGGTTACTCAGTTCGGCCAAAGGGAGGGGTCTTCCAGGCGGGAAATAGCAAGAGGAAATGGAGATAGTTAAAGAGTTAATTTTTATTGATGTGCTAGCTGCTTGAATGTTTGGAGACAAGTATGGAGGAAGAGGGAGATGGTCGATTTTGTTTGAGATTAGGAGAGCAGCGCCTCTGTGTGCAGTACCATCTGGGTGGTCAGCTCTGATAATATCGTATTCAAATAGCTTGAATGATGAAGTTTTAGTTAAGTGAGTTTCCGTTATAAGTGCAATTTCGACTTTTTTTTCACCGAGGACCAATTGTAGTTCATTTAAATGTTGTGAGATGCCGTTTGCATTCCATAACAATATGGAGAGTGTTTGCAAATTATTTGTTGGCATTTTTAATAAGTTTATCAATGACTGTGGTTAGGAGTGATATTAGAGGGTTTATTCATGCTTTAAATTCATTAATAAATGATGATAGTTGTGCAGAGATATTTTCATTTTGATTATCTTTTGAGTTGTTATCATGACTGTGAGAAGAAGAATCTTGATTTAATGGAGGGAAATTTTGTGAGTAAGCTTGGTGTGTAGATTCATAGGTATTTTTTACAGTTGATTGACGTGGGAAAGAACTTTTATTCCAAATTTTTTTTGAAGGGTTTTCTGATAATTTTTTTTAAGATTTAGGTGCAATTGGCAGCCCCTAAAGTTAGCCGGGTGATTACCACTACATAAAGTGCATTTGGCAGGAGAGCTGCGATCTTTGGTGCATTCAGTTGACTCATGTTGATCACCACATCGTACACAACGAGGAGAGTGATTACAGTAGCCACGAGTGTGGCCGTACGTTTGGCATCGGTGACACTGCGGTATTTCTTTTTTTGGGTGGGGAGTTTCAACTTTAATTTTTGTATAACATAATGAAGTTAGTTTGAAAATATCAGAGTTTGTTGGACTCGGTTCTAAATCAATAAAGAATATCGGTAGGGGAATATTGGTTAGCTTGTTTGTAACAGGCGTTATGCTTCTGGTGACGAATCCCTTATTTAAGAGTTCTTGTTTAATAAGAGAGGTGTCAGTCGTATGATGCATGTTTCGTATTACGACGCGATATGCTTTCTCCTCTTTTAGTTGAAATGAATGAAAGGAGACGTTATTATTTTTGAGGTAAGATACGACTGATCTATAGGAGACAGGACTGTACGTTTGGAGTTTAAGACCTTTGGTAGAGCTTTTACAATCGAAGCCGGTTGCATCAGTTAATTCTTTTATTTTTTGACAGAAATTGTTGTAGTTTATCTGTTCTTGAATAAAGATAGGAGGTGGCTTTGATGTTTTATTTTCATTGTCATTGATTACAGGGTTTGTATTGGTACTTGATGTTTCCATAGGTTGAATTTCGTCAGAAGGAGCAATCGGAGAAAAACGGTTAGCCGAAATAAAAATATTTTTGTCAGGTTTTTTTGTGGTAGGAGAAGAGCTGTTGGGAGATCTTGAGCGCTTTGAAATATTTGATTGGACTGTTTGCCAGCGTTTTCGTTGTCAGAGAAGTCCGAGGGGCTATTGACACCCGTTTAGTCTATTAGTGTTTTGGTGATAATAAACGGTGGAATAGTTTTATCTGTTAAATGTTTATTTTTTGACCGTTTGGGATATTTGGTGGTAGGAGTCGGTGGGCGATTAGAGTAACTCATAATGATGTAGATAAGGAAAATTATGGGTTGGCCTTTGGTAATGTTTAGATAATTTATACATTACCAACGGTACGAATACCGCGACGAGCTGGACACGACGAACAATACACACGCTATCGGGAGCTGATAAAGCGGAACGAGAGGCAATTAACGTGTGTACTGTACGACGTCTTAACACGAACTAATTAAAAAAAAAAAAAAAAAAAAAAAAATAGTTACAAATTACTTAGATGAACTTTACTCTAATAAAAAATATATAATCAGTAGTTTTGTTCAAAGTGAAGTTTGGCAAAAAAAAAAATAATAAATCAGCCCAATAAAATAATTTTACCATATTTTTTGTATTTTGATGACTATGAAACTAATAACCCTTTGGGGTCACATGCAGGTCTAAAAAAGTTAGGAGCTATATATATATCTTTCACTCCATGTTTTCCACCAGAATTTAGTTCATCATTAAATAATATTTTTCTGGCATTATTATTTAATTCATTAGATCGAAAACAATTTGGAAATAATATGACATTTAAACAATTAATTTTAGATATTACTTCTTTAGAAAATGAAGGCATAAATTCAATAATAGATAATAAAAATCAACTTGTGTATTTTATTTTGGCTTAAATTATTGGTGACAATTTAGGTTTACATTCAATTTTAGAGTTTACGGAATTATTTATGGCAATATATCCATGCAGATTTTGCAAATGTTCTAAAATTGAATGTAATTTTGAAACTGTACAAAATAATAATGAATTAAGAAACCAAGACAATTATACGTTTAAATCAGATCTGGAAATGAATAACATTTCATTAACTGGTATCAAAGAAATCTGTATTTAGAACCGAATACCTTCTTTTCGTGTATTTATTTTGAGGCCCGATTTAGAAAAAAAATATGATCTACAACGAATTTCTTATCTGAAACAGTTTACAGTTATCAAACTGGTATTATAGTTATATTAACATACTATAAATATTATTTTATGTTCTTGTATTTCGATATTGGCTAATGGCTAAAAGTAAAATGGGAAAATTGTGATAATGCCGATTGCCGACAACAACAATACTATTATATCATAGCTTCAGTACCTACTGTATAGTTTATTTGTGTGTTACAGTGATACAGTATAGTATACACTATCACAGTTACCAATTTTTGGATTTTGTTGAAACTTTGTGTCTTGTTTTTTTATGTTTATGTTTAATATAATTCGAATTTTTATTATAATTAAGTAATATTATTACTTAATATTATTTAATATTAAATAATATTAAACATAAACATAAAAAAATATTATTAATATTTATTATTTATTATTTAATATTTTATAAACCTAACCTTCGCCATGATTAACACCAGTTTTATTCAAATTATAATCGACAATTGCTATTGGTTTAAACTTTTCAACCGGACCTATTTTAGATCTTACTGTCACGGGTGTCATATCAGCATTATAAACAGTTTATAACATTAATACATCTCGTGTATCCTTCCATTTTATGCAAATTAGCGGTCCTTGTCTAGAAAATGTCATTTCTCCTTTTTTAAATTTTTCTTTTACAATTGCTTTAGGCAATCCTCGACGATTTGACAAAACTGTCCCAACGCCATTAGTATTTTTTTCCCATAATGATTTTAAAACTGTCGGACTGGTGTAGAATCTATCCATATAAACTGTATGGTCTTTATAATAATATTCAGATAAAAGTCTATCAAATAATGCAGTAATTGAATTGTCTGTATCATTTTTACCAGGATAAATTTCAAATTTTAATGTATAGCCATTCAAAGGATCAGATAAAATATATAATTTCATTCCATATTTGTTAGGTTTATTTTTCATGTATACTTTAAAATGAACTCAACCTCTAAATGGACAAACTCCTTCATCTATTGTTAAATTTTTGCCTGGTTGATAAGTTTCACTCATTTTCTTATTTATAAAATCAACATAAGGACGTATTTTGAATAAAGGGTCATAATTATTATTTCCTCTTGAGATATAATTAGAATTGTTATTTAAATGTAACATCGAAAAAATTGACAAAAATCTATCTCTTGACATTATTTTTGATGCAAATGAACTATGTATAAATGTTTTTTTTGACCAAAAATCTTTAAGACGAGGTTTCGGAATTATACACATGTGTTAGGAACCCTTGCATATACACTTTAGATTAGTAAGCATATAAGCATATTATATAATAATATAGTAGTGTAAGCAATATGTGTATTTTTTTTTGCAAGCGACTGCGTCGCTAAAACAAGAACGTAGAATAAGCAAGAGTTAGTCGTGAATAAGTAGCCGATTCGCATAATACTGTGTTGTTAAAATATTCTTATAATAAAATTATTAATAAAATAATTTCTTAAAGTTAAACAGATTTTGTGTAGTGTTTTGAATACAACCCGTAAGTGAACGAACTCTTTTACAACATACATATACCTTTTGGCCTTAACCGAAAGAGTATATAAC